AAGACGTTTCTGAATCTATGCCAATGAGCATAGAATCACGCGTTAAGTCTCTTAGGGACCAGAAGAGGCACTGATTACTCCTAGCTATGCTCAATAGTGCAACCCGTCTCTTCTAGAATTTAAACCATCTAGTTGCTCTCCTATTGGTTCTGGTGTTTTTCTCAGCCACTGAAGCGCTGCATGATCTGTTCTTATTTTGAATGAACGACCGATCAGATACTTCCTGAACTTTTTCACAAATGTTATAATTGCAAGTAATTCTTTCCTGGTTACATTGTAATTCATCTCATGTTTATTAAATAACTGACTACCGTAACAAATGGGTTTTTCTACTCCATCTTGTAATTGTGAAAGTACTGCACCCATAGCTTTATCTGAAGCATCGCAATCTAAAATAAATGCATCCTCGTCATTAGGTAGAGCTAATATTTCAGAACTGATTAATTTTTCTTTCAAACTATCAAAAGCAGTTTGGCATGCGTGCGTCCATTGAAACTTGTTACATTTCTTTGTCAATTCATATAACGGAGCTGCTATTTCTGAAAAATCTGGTACAAATCGTCTGTAGTACTGGCACAAACCTACAAATGCTCTACTTTGTTTCAGTGTAGTTGGTACTGGCCAATCTTTGATTGCTGTAATTTTAATTGGGTCCGTTCCGATCCCTTTATCACTAACTATATAACCTAAACAGCTAACTGATTTCTGCATTAAATGACACTTCGACGGTTTGAGCTTTAAATTTGCCTGGTGCAATCTTTGAAACAACAGTTCTAATCTTTTTAAATGTTCGTTTAAATTTTTACTAAATATGATTATATCGTCTAAGTAAACTAAACAGGTTTCAAAATTTAATCCTATCATGATATTATCCATTAATCTTTGAAATGTGGCAGGAGCGTTACAAAGTCCAAATGGCATTCTAGGAAATCTGAAAGTACCGCGATGACAAACAAACGTGGTCTTATTTCTGTCTTTAGGATGAACTTCAACCTGATGATATCCTGATCTTAAATCGAATGAACTGAACCATTGGGATCCAGACAACAAATCGAGACATGAGTCTATTCGAGGAAGTAGATACACATCTTTAATCGTTATTTCATTCAACTTTCTATAATCCACACAGAATCTGTAGGAATTATCTTTCTTTTTAACTAATACTAAATTAGAAGCCCATTCGCTCTGACAAGGTTCTATAACTTTTTGCTGTAACATCTCTTCTAACAAATTGTCAATGATTGGTAGATGTGCTCTAGGTTGCGGTCGCAATGCTTGGCGAAATGGTCTGTTTGCTCCGGTATCAATTTCATGTTGCGTTACATTAGTTCTTCCTAAATCAAACTCGCTTAATGAGAGAATATTTTTATACTTCAGCAACAACTTTCTCAAGTTACCACGAATATTATTTGGAACACTGGAATGTACCTCATCAACTATTGTTTTTATAGTCTCATCATATTCTTTGGTGGGCTTGTTATTTGATTCTTGAACTTCATCATCAACTACAACTACTTCATGTAATTTGGTGATTACTTGATCCTTAGGTATTTCAACTTTCTCATCAGATATGTTACATACTCTAATACTCGTAGACGGTTTATTGACATCAATTAATGATCTCGCAGTTAACAAATTGTTTTTGATTTTATTTATGCTAGTTGACCATGCTGTATTCTGTCCTANAGG